ACATTAATTTATATTAAATTAAGTAACTTTTAATAAAAACTTTCCATATAAATAAAAACTTATCCTATATAATTTATTATTGCCATTGCCATTATCCAGTGCAATAATGTACATATTAAAAAAAAATCCTAATTTTATTAAGCATATAACAACATTTGTGAATAGATAGGGTCTGTACACCACTCCAAATGGTGGAAGTACACCAGATATTCTCAATATTAGATGCTCAATCTGAAGTGATGGTTAGAAAAGACTATAGAAAGGTCATGTGTTGTAGATTGGATATCAGAGTCCAGAAGGCTTTAATGAATTTCTAGGAGCATCAAATGATTAATTCATAGAAAGATATATAGACCCATCCTTTCTGGTTCACACTAAGCATCAAACTAAATCTAATGTGACTAGATTTCTGCTTGCACCTTCCATTTGGCCAGTTTTGCAACTCACTCAACCGGTTTCCAAAATCAGATACTTAGATGCTCTATGTACCATTGCATATTTGATTCTGACAATTTTTTTTTTCAAAAGATATTTTTTTTATTACAAACTAATATAAATGTAAATTAATCCAAATGTGCATAAAATATTCTTTTTGGTAAAAACAAATAACTACTAATGTCTTATTACTTGTAGATCTAACACTCCTTTGCAAATTAGTGCTGCAACTGATTGAACTGGTGCTCAAAATGGATTAGAGAAACCTAGATGCAAGGGTCAATCTGTCTTATTGCATGTTTGGTTCGGCAGTAATAATTTTTTAAAACCACTCTCATTGAATTTTCATTATAAATTTATTTCAAACAAGTGTGTATGTAATACATAAATGTAATTTTTGAATAAATTTTTTTAAAAATGTCATTTTATTGAAAATTTATCTAAATTTACAGCCACGGATAACTTAAATTATCCCTAATTATGCAATGCCATGAATTAAATTTATTTTCAGTTAATACTTTCTTATTTATTTAATTTGTTAATATATTCAAAATAGTTTAATTTATATTTTTGAAAGTATACTTAATTTAATTATATATTTTTAAATTTAAATATTTTAAAAATTAATTTTATGTAAATTTAATCGTTATGCAAGGTTTCAGAAAGATACTCATAATTTACTAACGACTTACATGAAAGAAAAAAAAAAGTGAATTACACAAAAAAAAAGAAGAATTGAATAACTCACGAGAATGATTTAGGAGCCTTTTAAGAATTTATTAATTTATGAAAGTGATTTACAAAATTAATTTATGATTTGTTGATATTTTATGCTTTTCTTTGGGATCAAATTTTATCATTGTTATTTTTCAAGGAGTAACAAGTTCAAATTCTAAGATTGTGTTGTAGAAAAATTGTTAATGGATTATAGAAGTTAAATTTAAAGCCCATTTTGGATAGGGTTGGGACAGAGCAGATAAAACCCGAAAATGGAACCCATGCTTAGCCCACTAGAATGTAAAAAATAAACAAAACAGGTGTAATGTGATCTTCATAATCCTCAATTATTCCTAAGATGGGGCAAAACTATTGGGTCCTATGAGAGTGCCATCAATAGTTGTTTCATCAAAATGAACTTCTTTATAATACTCTTAGCATATCTACCAGCTCACCATAAGACTTGCTAATCCTCTTTGAATGTCATGCAACTAAATTTCTGTTTTTATTTCCAAGGCTATCATTGAATCGATTAACAATTTTATTAATATTTTACTGTAGCATAAGTCCAAATTGATGCATTGAAGTGTCAATACCTAGTGTCTGTACCCAAATCAAGTGGCATGACTGATTATAATTTAAGCGGCAAATATTTTATCAACTGTTACACATCTTTTTATAGCTTTTTTTTACAGTCACCTTGTCCTCTTGTTTCATTACACTTTTAGCATGTAACATTATAATAAACACCACCTTGTGTATAAAAAAATAATTATCACCTATGTAGGAAGAGTTACTGAGATATTATGATTCTAATTGGTTGGTTCCCAAAATTGGAACCTTTATCTAGTTATCACCAATCCGTCCTTCTCTACTTTGCAATTACTCTATCTCTTGAAGATTCTCTTTGAAATTTTGCTAAGGATTGCAGGGACCAGGTATTAGCGGTGAACTTTTAAGTTCTTTTTTGTGAGCTTTAATACCGAAGAATTTGGGACCTTGGATTTTGTTGAGCAACGTAGACACTCCCATAATTCACTTAACCTACATTATTCAAATTTTAGACCATGCAAATCAGGACCACTCCACCTTAGTAGATAGTTCCATTTAAGGGAATAACTAATAATTCATGAATGAATATAAACTTTTCCAAGGTTCGTATCACAAAAAAGTGCTAGGTGGGTGGAGATGCCATTTCCTAGAGGATTTAGAAAATGCAAAAGAAGAATAGGTAGAGGAAACTTGTGTATCAACCCTTTTGACACCTTAGAAAGTAACATAACTACTACTAATAGTTAACTAGCCAAGTAAACTTGTGTTTGAAAGATGCTTATCAAACTTGGAATTCTATTTGCTTTGCAACAATGTGGACAACTCTTAAAAATGAACAGGAAAGAGGAACCTTCATTCTTTTCTTCATAAAAAAACCATAGAGGTTATTGTAACAGAAAATCTAAATTCATCATTTATGTTTAGGAATATTAATGAAGACGAGGGCCAAAATTTATGGAATTTACTGAGATCATCATGATGGCTATGGGAAAATTTAAAGGAGCAATGCAATTGGACTTGGGAATTCAGAGTAAAACTGGGTGAAAATTCATGTTGAAAACAAAAAATAATAATAATAATAATAATAAAAAATGAGAAATATAAAAGTGAAATGACATGCACATGCACTGCACAACCTCTGCATTAGGAAGAAATGATCGTAACCTTAATATGCAGGAAAGACTGCACAAGAGACTTGAAGAAATGATCACTAACATTAGGAAAAGATTGCACAACCTCTGAAAGTTACCGCATTAACTATATTGATTATTATGTAGGAAAGTCATAAGGTTATTGGCAGAATGTGATTTATTTTAGGAACAAAAAGTGGAATAGCTTATCAGCTTATCTTTGTCATGAACTAATGAAAACCGTACCTTAGTCTTCCACCAATCAGCTGACACGCGATCCCTCAACACACAAACCAACAGAAAAGATAAAAGAAGTAGGACCTGTTAAAATCCTACCAAAAACATGCAGATACAAACAATGTGATGGTGATATCTTAGTACGGTTTCAGGTAGCCAGCTAAAACATTTTGGAATGTTGCTGAGCAAAGATTGGAAAACTCAATTCAAATATCCGAGAACTTTACCCCTTCCCCCTCTTGGCTGTTTTTCTCTGTCCAAAAGATTACATAAGTGATGACTCATGACCACTACTTTTTCCAGATACTTGATGAACACTTATCTCTGACAGCCAAAGATTTGAGTCTAACTAGGATGGAATACCAAAATGGTCATTAAGAAATGAGTCTTATCCAATCAAGTTACATGATGTAGCTTGGTCGTTGCTACTTTGATTTGTTTGATGTTTTGCATTTGTGAGAGTGAGGAAGTGATAGTTGAGAATTGAGATGGTGGATCTAATTTCAAGTTATAATTGAGATAAAAGTCTTGGTAGTGATCACATTTCCAATACCAAAACAAATGTTATTGATGGTCATCTTCATGTACACTAGACGGAAGATTCACTAGTGTTTCATGACGTTTAACGACTCAAATGTTGTTTGTTTCAAATACTGTTCCACTAGATTTTGGCTTATATTTTACAAAAATAATGTCTAAAACAATCATGCAAAACCAGACAACCCTTTTTGGTTACACATCCAAAAATAATTTTTATAAATGTTGTCCAAGTAATATAAACCAGTTAATGCAAACACACTAGCCAGCTAAAGATCAACAAGTTCCAGCAATCCAAGCAAGCAGTAAATGACAGAGAGGATTCTCTAATGTTGGCTCCTGCAAACCTTATTTGGGAACTTAAGAGTTTTGTTAAATTTAGCAATGTTTTGTGTTACATCACAGTCAGATACACCCTTTAAGGTAAAATGATGATTAAATTTGCATAACAGTCCAGCTAGCAAATTGACCCACTTGAATATACTTAGATTCTACTATTATTTTTACATTCTTTTTAACTGAAATTTTTTAAGATCTGTGATATTATGAGATAGACTCTTACATAAAAAGTAAACTTGTATAATTTTGTGAATTTCGATAAATTTTAACTGATTTAAAAGGATTGCATTGTATAAGTTGTGATTGAGAGTGGATTCTTAGTACTCTTCATTTCTTCTTTACCCTCTATTTTATGATTCTTTTGTGTTCTTCATCTGCCGTAGCTTAATTGCTGGTATTTACGAATTTCTTTCTTCTTCGAACGGTCCTCCTTACTTGATGCTTAAATCAAACAATGTCATGCTTTAAACATGACAAGATTATTTATTCTTTCATAACTTTAGTCAGCCTAGGCATACCTGACACGCACCTGGATTCAATAATTTTAACAAGTTGATTATACATATTTAATGTTATTAGTTCACTCTAATAAATTTTTTTAATAAAATATATTTATTTATTAATTCTGTAACCATTGCTTGTAAAGTAACAAAGCTAAGTTTGAAATTTCCCAAGCATTAATGAACTTCACAGAATATGCAACCATGAAGCTAATCAAGTCTTCTTTGGAACCGTATTCATTTGAAATTGATTCCCCTCTCTGACTTACCCAATAAAATCTCTTTGTCCAGCTTCATTTCGTGGTTCCAAAGTAGACAGGTCCCAAGACCTTCCAACTTTTGGCAATTTAGATTCCCTAATTAGCTACAACCCACTGTCCTGAGCAATATATAAGTAGAGTACCAGCTGCATGTTCTTACACAGCCTTCTCTTCAAATAAAAACTCCTTCCTTTCTCCTTGCGTTATTAACCTTTCTCTTCTTTTTCCAACTATCATTAGTCTCTTACCTTCCAACAAGTTTACCTATTAAGAGAGTAAACTAAATATTACTTATGGCTTCAAGCTCTCTCAGCAAACAACAATCTTACGACTCCTCCTGGACACCAAAACAGAATAAGCTGTTTGAAAAAGCACTAGCAAAATTTGATAAGGACACCCCTGATCGCTGGCAGAATGTAGCCAAAGCAGTTGGTGAAAAATCAGAAGAAGAAGTTAAGAGACACTATGAGATCCTCTTGGAGGATCTCAGACACATAGAAGCTGGTCGTGTTCCTATTCCCAACTACAAGTCCACAGGAAGCAGTACCAATGTTGATGAAGAAGAGAGGTAATGCATCCTAACAGAAAAACTTCATTTCTCTTCCATTTTCTGAATGCTAAGTGATATACTATTAACTAATTACCTTTTCACAACCCTTTCTAAATTCTCATCCTTCTCATGCATGCATTAAACTTCTCTGATAACTCTAGTTTATACATAAAGGCTGAGCAAAAGGGTCTTGACTTGACTTGAAGTTACAGTCCAACGTATAAATAAAGATCATTACAACTTCTTTGCAAAATCATATTTGATACAAAATGATTCATTGCTAGCGTAAAAGAAGGACAATGAGATATAAAACCATTGGCATTTTTGTCAATTTTGAATATTTTTACACTTAAACTTGTTGACAATGAGATATAAAAATGATCCCTTATGTGCTACAAATTTCGGTTTCAAATTTCTACACTTACCTTTTCAATTTGACAGCCTAGCAAATGCAATTAGATATACCATATGCATTCAGTTAAATCATTTCTTTATGTCAAATTATTTTTGAAATTTGTAGCAAAGAACATTGCACCACACAGTAAGTCATAACAAAATCTCCTTGCACGCAGAAGTGTACTAAATGAAGTATTATAAAAGCAAGTGAAAATATTTCAATGCAACTTTTTATTCATACCAAAAGAATTAATTATCATGATAAAAAATTAACTTATTCTAGTCTAAAAAGCAGAACACAAAACAAGGACTCACCGTCAAACTAATGAGTCCCTCTCAGATAAATCACGGGATCGACAAATTGACTCAGTCATACATCTGCTCTGGAATTTGTCCAACTCGTCACAATTTGTCTCAACTCGTCACAATTTGTTGTTGTTTTCGAATGTGTCATTTTATTATATACTCAAAGTAATTTTATTTGATTTTAATTTTTTTGTTGCCACAGGCTTCTGAAGTATTTTAAGCTGGATTGATGGAAGCAATGTGTGTTATCAATTATCATCAGCTGTTGGCAGCATTCATGTGGTGTTATAAATGTCTTGCGTCCTATGTCTTTATCTTTTCCATTTCCTGCTATTGTAATTTAAATCATTTCAAATTTTCAATGAATTATCCGATTCTAGAAACATTATCAAGTTCTTAACCATATTTGTCTTGTGCAAAAACATATTAATTGCAAAATGTCATTCTAACTAATATATAAAAAAAGGAAAATAAAAAGAGAAAAGTAAAAAATGACTCTATGTTGTAGCTTAGTAAAACATTAGACAGTATCCGTCCCATTAATATTCCCTCGTACAAATCAAACAAACGAAGCCCTATTCCATAGTCATCACGTGAACTATTTTGTTGTTGTTCAACTTTGGATTGGAGTGTCTGTCGTGCAGGATACACTTTTACTTTTTCGGCTAACGGTGTTTTTGCAAATTAGGACTAGTTCTATAAACCAACAAATTGGAATTCAGGCTTTATGGAAAAACTTGATTTAAGGACCAAGACAAACCAGTATTTAACAGCAAAATTAAATATTGTTTAACTAGTTGCTAAAGATACCAGTATACTAAAAAAATATGCTAACAATTAACCTTATTTGATCTAAATACAATTTAAAATAAAATATTTTTAAAAATATGAATTTAAATTGATAAAAAGAATTCACACATACACATACAAAGTATAAACAAAATTTATAAAAGCTTAACTATATATATATATATATATATATATATATATATATATATATATATATATATATATATAACATGTGAACAATTAATAAAATTCATCTGGTTTCATATTATTTATACCATAACTTAAGAATAGATAATTTATTAGAAGTTAAATCAGAAGAGTGTCTCAGTGCATCATGTCTTTCTTTTTCTACATATATACATGTAACTTGCGAAAATGCTTCAACACAAGTGTCTGATATATACATGTAACTTATAACTAATGACATAATTATTATGATAATTTACAGATATTATATTATTTTTTATGGAATGCAAAAAAACAACATGCTTTAGGATGATATATGTTTCACATTAGTGGTACCTGTTAGGACTGTTAAAGAACCAGAGAAGGTTTATTCTTATTCTGAAATTTGGAATTTTAATAATACAGTCAAGACAAAATAGTAATAATTTTTTTGTAACCCAAGATTTAAATGTCTTTTTAAGTTTCAACTGATTGAAATTAGTAAATTTGCTAATAATGTTAGCAAATAATCTTTGTGCACTATACATGCACAGTACAAGTATTGTTAAATTTTAAAAATTAATAAATAGTTAAAAATATTATACAATTATTTTTAAATTTAATAAAATTTATATATTTTTAAAAGTAAATATTATAATTATTAATGATAAATACTTTATTATAATAAATAAAATTTTAAAATAAAATAAAATAAAAAATAAATATATAATATAGAGAAAACATTACTTATCATGCTAAACTCTAAAGAAGTAATTTTTGCAAATGCTTGTATTTAAAAATATTTTTGAAAAATAGCATAGTTCAAGAATTAGAACTTTAAAGTTATATACAGAGGTTAATTCATAGTTATTATTAGCTAGTTTAAAACGTTTTATTTAAAAAAATTAAATTATATGAATTAATAAAAAAAATCAAATATTTCCATTTAAGAATAGTGAATCTGATCTATAATGTAAGAATATATTCACTTAATTATACTTTTATCTTCATCAACTATTAATTATTTTAAATATTAATCAAGAAAGATAAAGCTAATGGTAGTAAATATAATATTATAGTAATAAATGATAAAAATAAATTAAGACAGAAATATACAAAAGAGATATTTTAAAAATTAAGAAAACAATTTTTTACCTATTAATGTATGGGATGATTTCTCAAAAGTGGATTCTTTCATAAAATGCTTTGCACTATTGATTACAATGGCTAATAGGATGTAAATGAGTTAAATTATTTGTAAAATATTCAAAACCATCAAAATTTAGTTTGTTAAATCTTTGATTAAGATTGTTTATATATTCCAACAAACAAACACAAGTTTAAATTTAGACTTAATTATTACATGGGTCAAGTTTAAGCTTTGCATGCTTAACACTAATAACTTTTGAGGATCAAATTATACAAGTGTAAGTTACACTTATTCTTATATTTTTTAAGAACTTTCGATTCAAAATTATTTAATATCTTATTTATACGCATCAAATTTAACATAGTATATACATTAAAATATGTAAAAATAAGAATCATAATCTTATCTATGATCGATTTTGATAAAAATATGACATTAATAATATAGGTAATATATAATTATGATTCAATAGTTAGATAGATAAAAATTATTTTGTATATTAAATTATTTGATCCCTATCTAATATATGTTTGAAATTATCAAGCAAAGATTCATAAACTTTGGTGGACTTCTTGTATATTAAATTAAATTATTTTATATATTAAATTATTTGGTGGACTTCTTGTATTAAAAACCCTTTTCTTATCATAAACTTAAATACGATCAATTTGTGTATCATTTCACAATGATTCTTTTCTTGAGTTTCAACTTAGATTCTTAAATGTTCTGTCCTTGAAGAAGACACTTATGTTCCTTAAGCAATGCACAGCATTCCACCAACACAATGAATGATTAGTTATAGAAAGCAATGTTTTTATTAATCATGCTACTAATTTGCAGGATGTTAAGTATTAAACCTTAACTACTATTACAAAACAAACAAAGGAGGATCAACGTAAACTTCTTATTTTACGGAGATTTAAGCAATGTTCTTATTAATCACCAGGATGTTAAGTATGGAACGTTAACCACCGATACAAAACAAACAATAAAAGATTAACTTGAACTTCTTATTTGATGGGAGTTTGAGCAATGTTTTTATTAATCACGCTAATTTGTAAGATGTTAAATATGGAACATTAACCACTAATACAAAACAAACAATGGAGGATAAACGTGAACTTCTTGTTTTATGGGGATTTAAGTAATATTCTTATTAATTATGCTAATTTACAGGATGTTGAGTATAGATCATTAACCATTGATACAAAACAAACAAGGAAGGATCAATGTGAACTTCTTGTTTTATGTAGATTTGAACAATGTTCTTATTAATAACGAGGATGTTAAATATGGAATGTTAACCACTAGTTTGCGTAATTAATAAGAATATTACTCAAACTCACTACATAAATGCAGTTAATTATGTTTGCTTCTTACTCCTTCAATTCCTATATATAAAGTTGTGCAGCAAAGACATCAATCATAGATCATAGTTCATAATTCATACACATATATATACACGTCTTTCCAATAATACCATGAACTCCAATGACAACCTTCTCATCAACCACCCTACTCCCTGACTTCTTACATAACCTCGACATAAAATATATAAAACCTGGGTACCATGACTTGATCTCCCATCTTTTCACTCTGTGCTTGACTCGTCCCTCTAACATGACTCTAGAAGATTCACCAGCTTTGGCTCAACTTGGTTTGTCATTTGTTGCACTGTCATTGTGTTTGGAATCACTGTTTACCTCTAAGATCCATCTACTTGGTGACTTACTTTAAATGTTACAAACCACCTGCTGAAATATGACAAATTCATGTATCAACTCTGGCTAGAGGAAACCTATGTCCTTAAGCAATGCATAACATCTCACCAATACCATCCATGGCTGCTGCAAGAGATGAGGCTGAGATGAACTTTTTTCCAATACCAAGGTCAATCCGAAGGACATTGGAATCCATGTTGTGAATTGCAGCTTGTTCACTCCCACCCCTTCCCCAGCTTCTATGATTATCAACAAATACTGAGGTGCAATGTTAAGAGCTTCAACTTGGAGGCATGGGTTAAAGTGTGGGGTGTTATAGCTATTGACCTTGCTAAGGACTTATTTTAGTTCATGGGAACAATTATCTTGTGTGGTTAGCACGAAAAGAATTTTGGGAACAAGAAATTCATGCTGATACCAAATATTTTATATGGATAGGTGGAACTACTATCTCTCATAATTTTTCATGTATTTTTTTTAAGATAAAAATTGTAAGAAAATAATATGTAAAATATACTTATATTTTTTTTATAATGGTTTACTTTTTGTTCACTTTTTTATTCATTTTATTCTAAATTTTAAAAATTAAAATTGTTATTAACTTACTCTTATATAGAATAAATAAATGGTTAAATTCTTTCAGAATCTCTATATTTATATTTATAAAATTTATCTTCTTACCTTATATAAAATGTCAAATAATAGAAATAAATATGAGACTATGCAATTGGAAATTGATCCCTAGGATCGAAGTTATATACTTTATAACATAGGTCTTATCCACACAAATAACAAAGAACATAAAAAAGCTTTGGAATATTATTTTAGGGCACTCGAATGAAACCCTACTTATCTCAAACTTCTAATAATATGGTCGTGATCTGTCATTACGTGCAATTATCTCCACTATAGAGAAAAAAAAAAAGAACGAGCAAATTCGCTAATACTAGTTTAATAAATACTTGAAAAGATAGACTTTTTACATATATATCGTACAAAATAACTATTTTTCTCAACTACAGCATAGAGAGAAACCTCATAAAAGTTAAAATATGAAGAAATATATATGTTTAGATACTTTTTTTTTTTCTATGGATAAAAGATCTAATTGATAGAGGAAGCATCGTAAGGATCAATTAACGAAGTTTTGAGCAGATACAATAAGAACTATTTATTTATATCATGATAGAAAAGTTAGGAATTCACTTATGTAATAAAGTGGATCCCTCGCAATGGTGTAGTATCAAATCCTAAAGATAGTAAATTTTTTCTTTATTATAAAAAAAAGTCTTTTTTTAAGGATTCTATAAAAATTGATATATCATATAGGAAAGTATATGATATATGAAATCGAGATAGTTACCTTTCAGATATCTATAGTTAAATTCTTTACAACTTATCAATAGATATAACCTTTTTGGTATGAATACTTTATATGGCTATTAAAATAATGAGCATTAGCATATAGGTTCCATATCCAAGTAGTAGTATCAGGTCTCTTAACTATTGTTCTTGAGAAATGACCGAGTTTTGTCCATTTTTGAAAGAAGTTTTTACATAGAAAGTAATTTAGTTAACAAACATAATTCTTGACATTTAAAGTATTTTTGTACAATTTCACTCAAATACGATAAGTACTCAGACTTAGAATTAATAATTATGATAGAACAATCTTATGTTAATTGATTTACATGATTAATTATAATAAAAAGATTATGTTAAGGAGAAAAAATAAATTAAATTATAAATTAATTCAATTGAAAAATATTAAATATTTGAGGTAAAAAAAAACCCACATATAACATAGCTAAAAAATAAAACACAATCATGAAGTCGGTATTTATATCAACTTCCACACTGTTTTCTAACGATTACTAATATTTTTAAAAATAATTTCTTTTTCATTATATCAAATATTATATATATATATATATATATATATATATATATATAATATTTGTAAAAATTTATTTAAGTCACTAATAACAATTTTTTTAAAAAAATTATAATATAAAATTAATAAAAAATCAAAGTGATTATATAACAATGTAATTTACATTGATTATTTTATTTTGTAATTAATACTAAATGAAAAAAATTATATTTTATCGTTATAATATATAAAAATAAATTTTCGTATTTTATTATAAATAAATATACTTTAATTTTTTAACAAAAAATAATCCGTAATTGATAATTTATGACTTGACCTGGTAAATGAAAAAAAATAAGCTTAAACTTTTAATAAATTTAGACTTATTAATTTTGTTTTTAGTTCTTTTAATTTAACACAATATGATCTTAAATATCTTTATTTTAACTATTTACATTTTATTTTATTTTATTTTCAAATTTTTAAATTAAATTTACCTCAAAGTTAAAATTTCAATTTTATTTTTTACTTATTTAATTAATAAAATATCATACTTTTATTATATATTTTTAATTATTGGATGCAATTTAATTTGAAAATTTAAAAAATTGGAGATACTAAATATTAATAATTAATATTAAAAAAATTAAATTTAAACACACATTAAAATATAGAGACTAAAATATAATTAAGTTAAAAATTTATTTTTAAAAGTCCAAGTATTATTTTTATATACATTATTAATGAACTTAAATGAAAAATAAAACATATCTATAATATTTTATATTATTAATAAATTATTAATAATTTGCACAAAAATTAAAAATGATCGGTGTTTTAATTTTTATTAAAAAATATTACTTAAATATTTGAATGTATCACTTACTAATTATCTTTCATAAAAAAATATTAATCATTAAAAAATTATCAAAAATACAAAAAAAAAATTATCATATTTTTACAATAAATTTTTACAAACAAATTATTTTATCCTTTTTATCATATCACTGCTTTATTGTATGTTTTTCTTTTTTTTTTAAGTATTAACAAAAATTATACAACTTTTTATATCATTAAGGTTTCTCAAACAAATTTAGTAAAACAGTATAAGACCGTTTAAGAAATGAACCAATGCATGAAGCATAGGTTCAAACTGCTCAAACGTGTTTTGAAAATTGCAAAATTCATACTTACCATCCTGTAAATTAGCATGGTTGATAAGAATATTACTCAAATTTTCATAAAATAAGAAGTTTCTGTTAATCCTCTATTGTTTGTTTTGTACTGGTTGTTAACGTTCCATACTTAACATCCTATAAATTAGCATGATTAATAAGAATATTGTTCAAATCCCCATGAAACAAGAAGTTCGCGTTAATTCTCTATTATTTATTTTTTACTGGTGGTTAAAGTTGTAAATTGCATCATAAGTAGCTAGTCACGAAAAAGGTAGTGACATATACATACAAATAAAAATTTAGTATAATAAACACCGCAACCAGAAAGGTGTTTCTTATTGTCAAATTTGGAGCCTTTTGTCTGAGTCACTTGTGAATCATATGCATGTCATAATCAAAATTCTAAAACTCAGGACCAAACTCATGACACATATGAAATATCATTCAATGGTCTATTTAGTGTCTTATTGGAAGAATTGTCATTTAATGATCTCTTTAGTGTCTCACGTGCTCCAACTATTCATGTAAGTTTATTAATTACTTTAGTCATCATGATTCAATTATTGTACGATTACATTCTTAAATATTTATTAATTGATTGATTTGTATTTATTAATATTAATTTTTTTATTTTCTTTCATCCTTGTTTGCAGTATCAAAATCCATGAGAGCATTTCTTACCCTACTTTTAGTTATTTAATTTAATACTAGGCTTTTTTTTATTTTAGAATTTTAATATGTTGAGGATGTAACACCCTTATTTTATTTATTTATTATTATTACATTTTATGTTGATTGATTGCGTATGTTGCTTGGAATTAGAAGAATTTAAAATGTGATAGTTGTAGGGATCTCAGTCAAGCGAGATATGGCTTACTCAAGCAAGACAAAGTATTTTGAACGAGGCATTTAGGGGTGTTCTAGCGAGATAAGTCTCACTCAAGCAAAAAATGATAGTACTGTCTCAACTATCCTCTCGCTCAGGCGAGAAGTGGCTCGCTCAGGTAAGGAGTCATAGAAAAAGTAGAGCTCCTTGAACCCATTCTCACCCGCAAATGAGAATACCTCGCTCAGGCGAGAATATCAGAAAAATTGAGAAAATCCTTCTATCTGATTTTCTCGCTCAAGCAAGAATAATTTTGTTCAAGCGAGAACTCGCGAGTTTTGAAGAGTATTTAAAGAATTTCTAATCTTAAAACTTGCATTATAATTCATGAAAATTTTTCTAACTTTTCCTTTGAACTCTCTCTTTCCTCTCTCCCAGAGAAAACCGCTGAGCTCCAAATTTGTCCCGAATTTGAACTCAAACATCCTTCTATTTAATCTCTGGTAAGTTTCTCAGAGCTTTGTTCTTCAATCTCGTCTTTATTTTTCTTGTTTTTCTCTTTCTCAAAAAATACTCTCTTTTGTGATATTTAGGAAGATCTTGATCTTTTAGACGATCTCTTCCACAAAACTCTCTTTGATGTAAGTAGAGCTCTATTTAATTACTAAGAACATGAGGTATTTTTGTACTCATGAACATCTGATAGTAATCATTTTGTGCTCACGAGAATGCTATTGTGTGTTTCTTATTTAAAAATATGTGTTTGAATTAAACTTTTGATAAAGTATGATTTTTCTTATTCTTGATGACTTCAATTGTATGTTGTATTGAATATGTACAATTTTGACCGAGTCCGAAGGTGTCTGACCTCCAGTATGGTTGATTGATTTATGATATAAGAGTAAACTTAAATAAAATAGAAAAGGAAAAGGATGAACATTATGTTATTATGAAAATGAAAAATTTATGATATGATGAGAAATGCAAGAGGAGTTATAATGAGAAATGATAGGGGGATAAGGATACATATGGATAGTACAAAGATATATTGGGAGTGTGGAAGATGGAGGCAATTTTAAAAATTTAGGAAAAATGAGGGTAACGAATGCTTTTCTTTGATTGCGCAAGATTAATAAAAATAAATAACACTTATTTCTTAACTTAAACTTCTAACCATACTTTTACTAGAAGGAGACCGCATTGGTACACATTATATATGTATTGCTATGGCTAACCAACAACTATCTATATTAAGAAAAACCTCAAAGGAATCTAGAGGCAATAAACAATTGAGACAAGGACTTGAAAAGTTTAAGAATGACAATAAAATAAAATATAATATTAATGAACATTATGTGGATATGAAATTGCTGTGGAATATATGTCATTTAAGGATTGATTGGTGTGTTAGTCATTTATGTATGGTTGAAATTTATTGTTTAATCATATTTAGTAGTGAGAAGAGAGATCTGTTAGGCTATCTCAGTGGTTAGTTAGTAGTATATTAAACTGCGTATTTAGGGAGTAATAACATATATGTTATTGTAGATTTGTTGTTGACTGTAATAATGAATCAGGAGACGTTTTTACCTTAGAAATGTAATAAAAGTATAATGTTCTTTTTGATTATCTTGTAAATAATGGGATTCACCACACTTTTAGTATATATATATATAGAAAGAGAGAGAGAGAGAAAGAGAGGGATATTGAGAACTCCATCAGCTACGAATTTTGTATACACTTTTCATGACCACGACTACTTTGGAAGACCAACTCAATTCACCTTTGAGCAAGATATTGGTACTAAGGCTGGGGCTGATACGAGTGATCTTGATGAGGATGAGAATCTGACCTACGATTGAGGGTTAGTTTGAAGATGACAACTCAAAACTCCTTAGTATTTTGGTGTGAAAACAAACTACTCAGTAAGAATTGAATTATTTTGTTTCTCTTGTAAATTATGTATACAAGTCTTAATGTATTTTTGAAATTATAGTTTGTAATTATCAACTCTTGTAATTAATTAAAGCTAATATATGTATATTTTAGTTCAACCTTAATGTAAATTTATTTATAAATTGTAATGAAATTATACATATTCATCTTTTATCATTTTTTATACTTATACATTTTATAAAATGAATAACAAGGATAAAAGTTCTAAATTTTATCGAACTTTACATTAAGAGTATAAGTAAACTTACTTTATTTTCTCTCTTCAACATAAATTATTTCATAAATTGTATAAATAAAATAAGAGATGCATTTTAATTTAATTTATAATTTCATGTGTAAACTTTTATTGGATATTTATTATATTTAAGTTTAAATTTTAATATATGATGATTATTTTATTATTTATAATTTTAATTTATATTTATTTTATTTAAAATAACAATTGTTATAACAACATTAGTATGGTAATCGCAACGTTAATTTTAAAAAATGATAATTAATATCATTAATAATAATAAATTTAAGTAATAATATATAAAATATTATTTTAAAGTAATTATTGATTAAATATTTTTAAAAAAAAAATTGTTATAAAAATATTATTTAAAATAATTTCTAGTAATGATGAACAAAATAGTTATTATCTTTAGAATAATAGTGACTAATAATCATCTCATATATTATTATATGTATGTTAATAGTAAATTATCATTAATATTTATATATATATATATTAGTGACGTTAATTTTTATTATAATAAATATTTTATTTTAATGAATACGTAATATTGTTATAATAGTGACTTAATGGTTAATGACTATAAAATTTCTACATTTATATTTATAAAATTTATTTTTTTACATTATATAAAATGTCAGGCAATAAAAATTAAATATTTTAAATTTAAATTTTATAAACATAAATTAGTTCAACAAAATTAAGTTAATAGAGACTCATTTTAATTTCAAACTAAAATTATAAAGAAATCATGGAACTGTTAAAAGTAATTTAGTTAATAAAAATAATTCTTTGACGTTTAAAGTATTTGTCGTACAATTTCCTTGTATACGTACTCAAGCTTAGAATTAATAATTAGGATAGAAGAATCTTATGTTAATTGATTTACATAATAATTATAATAAAAGAATATGTCAAAAAAAATTAAATTAAATCATAAATTGATTAAATTAAAAAGAGTTAAATGTTTGAGGTGAAAAAAACTCACATACAGCATAGTTAAAAAAGAAAACAAAGTTATAAATCATTTTTATCAACTTCAAGAAATGTTTAAAAACTACTCTTAAACATGAATATTTTTAAAAACGATTTCTTTTTTCATCATATCTAGTATTATATATATATATATATATATATATATATATATATATAATACTAATTTAAAAAATTATATTTTATCATTATAGAATTAAAAAATTAATTTTCATATTTTATTATAAATAAATATACTGTAATTTTTTAACGAAAAATAATTTGTTAGTACTAATCTCACTATTGATAATTTGATCTGTTAAATAAAAAAAATAGGCTTAAACTTTTAAACAAATTCAGATTTATTAAGTTTATTTCTGGTTCTTTTAGTTTAAAGAACTGGATCTCTTAATTTTAACTATTCACGTTTAATTTCTTTAATTTTTCAAATTATGAGATTAAGGTTATCTAAAAGTTACAATTTTAATTATATTTTATTTATTTATTATTTACTTATGTAATCAATAAAATGTCATACTTCTAATATATTTTATTAATTATAAGATAAAATTATAAGCTACAAAATTTAATTTAAAAATTTAAAAATTGAAGAGACTAAATATTAATAGTTAATATTAAAAAATTAAATTTAAACACACGTTAAAATATAGAGACTAAAAATATAAATAAATTAAAAATTTATTTTAAAATTTCAAATATTAATTTTATATACATTAATAATGAACTTATAACAAAAAATAAAAATATATCTGTAATATTTTATATTATTAATAAATTATAATAATTTCCACAAAAATTAAAAATGATTGATGTTTTAATTTTTACTAAAAAATATTACTTAAATATTTTAATATATCACTTACTAATTATCTTTTATCAAAAAAGATTAACCATTAAAAAATTATAAAAAACAAGAATAAAAAAACAAAATAAATTATCACATTTTTATAAAAAGTTTGTACAACAAATTATTTTATCCTTTTTTATCATATCGCTATTTTCTCATAATTTTTCTTATCTTTATAAGTTGTAACAAAAATTATACGAACACATTAAAAAATTATAAGACTGTTTAAAGAGAAAATTGCTCAAATCTCCATAAAACAAAAAGGTCACCTTAATCCTCCATTTTTCTTTTATATCAGTGATTAATGTTCCATACTTAACATCCTGTAAGTTAGCATGATTAATAAGAATATTGGTCAAATCTCCATGAAACAAGAAGTTTCCTTAATCCTCCATTGATTGTTTTGTATCGGTGGTTAACGTTCCATACTTAGCATCGTGCAAATGCATGATTAATAAGAATATTGTTCAAATTCCCGTAAAAGAAGAAGTTCCCATTAATCCTCTATAGTTTGTTTTGGATTAGTGGTTAACATTCCATACTTAACATCCTGCAAATTAACGTGATTAATATAAATATTGCTCAAATCCCCATAAAACAAGAAGTTTCATTATTTTTCCATTATTTATTTTGTATCGGTGGTGTGGTGAACATTCCATACTTAACATCGTGCAAATGCATGATTAATAAAAACATTTCTCAAATCCCTATAAAATAAGAAGTTCGTGTTAGTCCTCCATTGTTTGTTTTGTATCGATGGTTAACATTTCATACTTAACATCTTGCAATTAAGCTTGATCAATAAGAACATTGCTCAAATCCTCGTAAAACAAAAAATTCACATTTGTCCTCCCTTGTTTGTTTTGTATATGTGGTTAGCGTTTCATGCTTAACATCTTGCAATTAAGCATGATCAATAAGAACATTGCTCAAATCCCCATAAAGCAAGAAGTTCGTGTTAATCTTCCATTGATTGTTTTGTATTGGTGGTTAACGTTATGTACTTAACAGCCTGTAAATTAACGTGAGTAATAAGAATATCACTCAATTCTTCGTAAAACAAGAAGTTTCTGTTAATTTGTTTTGTATCTGTGGTCAAAGTTCGATACTTAACATCCTACAAATTAACATGATTAATAAGAATATTGCTTCAATCCCCATAAAACAAGAAGTTCTTGTTTGTTTTGTATTGATGGTTAACGATGTAAACTGCAAAGGTACTGACATATACGTACGAATAAAAACGCAGCATAATAAAAAGTGCATCGGGAAAGGTGTGTCTTATTCTAAAATTTGGGGCTTTTTGTTTGAGTCACCTGCGAATCATGTGCATGCAAATTCATGAGACAAATGCAGTTCAATTCTGTTTGGTAGCGAGTGACAGTTAGAGGTGTTGTGGTTAACTTTCCAGACTTAACATCTTGTAAATTACTCAAATTCTGATAAAACAAGAAGTTCACGTTGATCCTCCTTTGTTTGTTTGGTATTATCAGTAGTTAACTTTTCATAATTAACATGTTGCAACTTAGCGTGATTAACAAGGACATTGCTCAAATCCTCCATAAAACAAGAAGTTCACTACATAAATGCAGTTCAATTTTGTTTGGTAGCGAGTTATAGTTAGAAGCCACATGCCACCTTTTCATTTCTCACTCTTTTTCCAATCCTATATATAAAGTTGTGCCGCAAAAACATGAATCATAACTCAGGGTTCATAATTCATACACATACACACACCATGCCTTCTAACACCATGAACTCCAATGACAACCAAGGCCTCTGCATTAACCACCCTCGCAGGCTCTCTGACTTCCTACATAACCTGAACATGACATATGTAAAAGTTGTATACCATTATTTGATCTCCTACCTTTTCACTCTGTGCCTGATTCCTCTCACTGCTCTCATCATCTTTCAAGCCTCCAACATGACTCTAGACAAGATTCACCAGCTTTGGCTCAACTTGCAGTACCACTTGTTAGACAACTTGGTCAGTGTTGTCCTTTGTTGCACTGTCTTTGTGTTTGGAATCACTGTTTACATCATAAGGAAGCCAAGATCTATCTACTTGGTAGACTTTGCATGTTACAAACCCCCTGCTCAACTTAAAGTTAACTATGACAAATTCATGTATCACACCGTTCTCACTAGGGACTTCAATGATTCTTCACTTGAGTTTCAAAGGAAGATTCTCGAGCGCTCTGGCCTTGGAGAGGAAACTTATGTCCCTCAAGCAATGCACAACATCCCACCAACGCC